ATATATATATATATATATATATGATATATATATATATATATATATATATATATATATATATATATATATATATATATATATATATATATGTATACAACGAAGAGAGAAAACAGTGTCATGTGCACATTATGTGTAATAGTGCACAATGGCTTCACCAATTTCTTGTTTAAATATTATGTGTGTAGAAACGTTGTACATGCCTATTAGAGTTAAACATTTTCTTCTCTTCATTTTTTGTGAACGATAAGTAAATTTTTTAAACAATAAGTTGATGAAGTTTGATATTTCTCGGAGCTGATGTGTCTGTTTCGAAAGTTGTGGCATAATTCAACAAAGGTTTCATTTAATTCAGTATCGATTTCATCTAATTCCAATATCAATTTCATCTCTCTTTTTTTTTGTGTGTGCATAATATACAAAACAGGATATTGCATTTTCATCCGAGCAAGTCACGACTGTCGACATATAATGTACTTTTTGCTGCCTTTTTTTAAAAACAAATTACACGTTGTGTTTTCTCCCCATGTTTCCCTTTTCACGTTAGTTTGGTTGTTTGTTTGTTTGTTTTTTCATAGCGTTACAAAATCTTTGAGATGAGTAAGGTAAAGACAGAGGAGGAACAATGGGCAGGGAAATAGATCTCGAGAATATTTGTTAAAGTAGCATATTTAACACGCACTCCCCCCCCCCCCTCCTTTTTTGTGCAAACGTTTGTCAACCAAGGAGACGTGCTTTCAAATTGTCAATATATTATTTAGGAAAAGAAAATGAACAATTCTACGACAAAAACCAAAAGAAAACTGATTATTATGAATAAATATTACAGGCTTCGGTACCCTGCACATGATTTCTCTCTCTCTCTCTCTCTATCTCTCTCTCTCTCGCTATCTCTCTCTCTCTCTCTCTCTCTCTCTCTCTCTCTCTCTCTCTCTCTCTCTCCCTCTCTCTCTCTCTCTCTCTCTCTCTCGCTCTCTCTCTCTCTCGCTCTCTCTCTCTCTCTCTCTCTCTCTCTCTCTCTTTCTCTCTCTCTGCCTCTGATATGAGTTTAGAAGGGGAAAGGGGGAGGGGGGAGGGCGAAGATACGTAATAAATAGATTTATCAAGTCACATCTTGAATGTTGGCATAAGTCATGATCATACGACATGGAATGCATAGTCTCGGTAACCACAACTAGAGTGCACAAGTTTCTTTTTTTATCCTGCGTGCGGTTTTACTAATTATTGCCTCTTTTCTGTTATACCCTACGTGTGCAGTCTACCGTTTGTATTTAACTTTCTGCTTGTGTGTTTGTTGCTAATCTAATTTTGCTCCATTTCATTCATTTCTTTAGTTGTTGTTTCTTTTAATATCCATACCCCTTTTGTGTTTCTTTTAATATCCATACAATATCCATATCCATGTTTTCTTGTTGTTGTTTTTTTTTTTTTTTTTTTTTTTTTTTTTTTTGGGGGGGGGGGGGTTCTGTGTGTGTTGATTATTACTAAAGTTACTGGTGTATCATTGTCGTACCCAAATCCTTTCTGATGAGACTGCAGCGAGTTCATTTAAATTTTAGTTTATTCAGTTACTTCGTGTGTGGTTGTTTGTTTTTACTTTTAGTCTAATTTTTTTAGAAGTTGCATCTCAAAATTTTAATTATAATCGTTCAAACAGAGCACAAAGAATTATGTATCATGTACACTGTTCACACGTGCACTCAATCACACACGCCCGCACTCATACACGCACTTACGTTCGCGAGCGCACACACTCACGCACACCCACGCGCACACACACACGAATACACACACACGCTCACAAACACACACGCGCGCGCGTGCTCGCACGCACGCACGCACGCACGCACGCACACATACACAAGCATAATTCATATTCTTGTAAATGCTCCAATCTTATTTTTTGCTTTGGAATTGTTTTTAAGGTATCATTAGTTGTTCTTTAAGAATCCAGCGTTGTGCCACACACGAGTTTGTGGTGTGTGTAGTGCGTAAAATTTGACTGAACATGCTGGTTTGTATTTTGGTATTTGAGTTTGAGTATACATGATTTCCTTTGCTATATCTTATAACAGGCTCAACAACAAGTCCGGCAGAGACATCCACTGTGCCAACCCCATCTTCGTCAACGTGTGTGGGTAAGGTCTTTTTGTGTTGTTTTATTTTGTTTTCTTTTATTTTGTTTTGCTTTTTGTTTGTTGCTGTTTTGTTTGGTTTTGTGGGGGTGGGGGGGGGGTTGCTGGGTTGTTGTTGTTGTTTTTGGGGGGTTGTTGTTGTTGTTGTTGTTTTTGTTGTTGTTGTTGTTGCTATTGTTGTTTGGGAGGGTGGTGGTGCTTAACTCATCTTACTGAATTGAATTATTTTTTGCTAGGTTCATATTTAGGTAAACATATTGATCTGTATAACAAAATTTGTTTAATAATCTTGTGCAAGCACATATTGTTCAAATATTCCAATTGTCTACCTCTTCTTCCTCCTGTTCCCCATCCTCCTCTGTGGGTGGTTGGCGGGTGCTCTGGTGTGGTTTTCTTCTGATTTCTATCAAACATCTATCGTCTTTATCTCCCCTCCTTCTTTTTTGTGTTTGTTACTCTCTAGTAACACCTCTAATCTTCGGCACTTATATGACCTTATTGAGTTGCAAGGGCCATAAAACTCTTACTAAAACATACATCCTCCTCATCCTCCTCCTCCTTTTCCTCCTCCTCCTCCCCCCCCCCCTTCCTCCTCCTCATCCTCCTCCTCCTCCCCCCTCCTCCTCTTCCTCCTCCTCCTCCTCCTCCTCCTCCTCCTCCTCCTCCTCCTCCTCCTCCTCCTCCTCCTCCTCCTCCTCTTCACC